AAATATTTTTTAAAACATTAAAATTATGATTTACTTGCGTACACTGGTAAAAAAAAAGTAGTAAATTTAAATATTTTGTATTCAATTAAAATATTTTTCGCTTTGATTTTCATCCAAATCCGTTTATATTTACTTTAAATATGCACCATATTAATTTGATTTTCGAATTTAATTTAAATACTTACAGAGTAATTTTCAATTTTATTTTTAATATTTAATTTAAATTTGGTCCATATTTAAGTTAAACATAATTCATAGTTAAATTAAACACGATGCGTATTTATTTTAAATATTAAAACATTTAATTTAACTAGAAATCGTATTTGAAGTAATAATGAAACATGTTTGTTTTCAATATTAAAATAATTAATTTAAGTATAAACCGTATTTAAATTAATATGAAATAAATTTAAGTTAAATACGGTGCATCTTTGTTTTAAATATTAAAATATTTAATTTGATTTATAATCGTATTTAATGTTAATATATAACATCTATAAATTAAATATTCCAAACTTAAATACAGTGCAATTCATATTTAATTTTAATTAACAATTTCACTGAATTTAAATATTAAAGTATTTAGTTTAAATTTGAATTATATAACATGTATTATTTAGCGTTTTAAATATAAATATTTATTATATTTAAATCAAATGCAGGGTATATTCATTTAAATTATTCAAAACCGTTTATTAACATAAGAAAAACATTGAGCAGTTCATTTTTTTTTGTAATCATTTTATTTAAGCAAAATTTATATACAGTACGGCCTATATAGTTTATCAAAGAACGTAGTTTTTAACACTCACTTCATATTGTACATGTTTTTATTTGCTTTGTGGCTTTTTACAAACATACACGGTTGGTTGAACTGTTTTTAAATTCGAATAGTTTTTACCGACAGATTCTGCAATCCTTTGGCGATAGTCGGCAATGGAGTTCACTCGAAGGACTAGACTTTCCAGGGAGTTCTGGTTTTTGATGCTTTTGAAGAGTACCATGTATTGGGAGGTAAAATTGAGGGGAGCAGGATAGTCAAAATAAAGTCTGATGAAAAAGAAATAAAAGAAAGACAAAAATAAGAATTTTAATTAAAAAATAAAACAATATATTTCATAATGTAATTTACCAATAGTCTCTGAATTCTTGAAATTCATAAACAGCTTCCCTCTGTTCACGTTGTGGATATTATACGCATAGTACTGTTGTATTTTCTTCTTAAACGCTTCCCATTTTGAAGCTAATGCGCCTTTCCTTTCCAGGGAACATTAAATTAAAATCGATTTGTATCTGAAATTAGATTTTTTTCTTAACTTGGGTTTTTTTCAAGTCATATATTACGGTATCACTAGGGATTGTTCTATGCTAATTTATTGTAATTATTATCGATTTGATTGATTTTATTTTTTTAAAATATTAATATTACTTTGTAATATTTTAAAAATCAAATCAAGTATTCGCAGCTTGAAATCTTTTTATTCTTTTATGCATGCAAAAATTAACACATTATGCTACTAGCGGTCCCTGAAATGTTAATAAATTATAAAAAACGGCACTTACCAAACACTTCTATGAGCTTTGCTGCTGTAATCAAATTTTATTCTCGGCGTGTTTGAGGATGGGTGCAAAATTTGTATTTCTTCCGGCAAGGATGAGCGTGATAACCTAATTCAAGTTAAGATCTTAAAACATATACATATAAACATGCGTAAAAATATGAATGTAAATGAATTATCAGGGAATAAAAGAAAACGTAATAAACGGTACTGCAGAGTAAGTTGATAAAAAAATTAAATATTAAATTTAAATATGTGAGTATTAAATTAAACCATATTAAACTTAAATATATATTTTTTAAAACAAAGATTAACCACTTTAAATCTAATATTTTTTACATTAATTTAAATATGTAGGTACATTTTAAGTCTTTCTATTAAATATGCAAAGTATTTAATATTATGATTTAATATTTAATTTAAATACTTTAATATTAAACACGTCAATTTAATATTCACATATTTATTTTTATTATTACTTTCTTTTATTATTGTACTTGTTTTTTATTCTATTCTCAATACAGCCACATATGCATGCATGTGCAGAATGCGTTTACCGCTTTTTTTTTGTTAATTTTTTTGGGCGGTAACTAAAACGGTAAACGCACGCTGCACATATGTACATGCATATGTACAAAGATGTTTACACAGCGTGCGTATGTATGTACATAACATTACCACATTTATATTTTTATTTTTAGATCGGTACTTACCAAATAGTTATGCTTCCGAAGCTTAAAATTAATCTTGGCGTGATCTTTATCTTGAGGGTCAATTATGTTAAACTAGATCGCGGTAAAATACACAGTTAATATGTGAATAACTCTAGAAGATATTTGTTTTTAAATATTCTCACACACTTACATACAAATATATGCATGCATGTGCAGAGTCCGTTAACCGTTTCTAGTGGCTTCCAAACTAAATCTAACGCCAATTAAGCGGTAAACGAACGCTGCACATACATATGTACATGCATACCAACACATGTACATACATATATATATCAAGCGTGGGTATAAAGCCTAAAACAAATTTATTGCAGAATTATTCACCCAATAACGTGTAAGAATCGCGATCCAGATTAATTATTTTAGCACTTCACTATCTTTGATTTGTGTTTCTGATGAGATCGCGGCATCAGCAATTAAACTTTAATTTTCACTACACGACACAACAACTGCGACTTAGAAATGATGGCACGCGCCGTGCAATGCTGAATACGAAGAGAAGTGATCTGGGCACACATATGTACATATGTGTGTGTGAATCCGATTCAAAGAAACAGCGAATAACGGAGAAAAAAGACCGCTAAAAATGCGCATTTAGAATTTGTTATATACATATGTACATATGTATGCATGTATAATTATGACTTTTGTTCCATTTATTTAACATTATTTTAATTTAGTTACGAACGTAATAAATTTAAGAGTTTCGTCTAAATTAATGGAACAAAACAAAAAAATTAAAATATAATTTTTGTATTTATTTTTAAATATAAAATGCGGGCCTCGACTACAACTTTAAATTAAATAGGAAGAATATTTAAAGTAACAAAAATAATATTTAAATTTAATTTGTTATGTATAACGATTAATATTAAATTTAAATATTGAGCATTTTCAATATAATACTTTAAACAGAGATATTAATACAAATAATATTAGATTTAAATTTAAAAATATTAAGTACCATATTTATTAAATATATTTCCCTAAGATTGAGCTATTGAAATTTAATTGACAATATCAACTGTAATAATGTTTTGTTTATTGTAAAAATCATTAAAAACTCAAAATAATTTTCAGTTTTCGTACTATAATTAAATATGACACATTCTTAATTTGACTATGTTTTTTTTTTAGTCTGAAAATTTTCAATTTTAATATGATAAAATTTAAAACAAATTGCCCAAAATTTAAACTCAATATTTACCACATTGATTTAAATATTTTAATATTAAATAATGGAATTTAATACGTTTTGTATTTAATTTTAATATTTTTATATTTACTTTAAATATGAAATACGCATTTTACAATTCAATATGCGCATATTTATTTTTACTATTCCATTTTTTTACCAGTGTATATGTCTAAAAGCATTGAAGCTATGATGATTTGCAGCTCAATTATTATATAGTTATTTTATATATTTTTATTATTTCTATGGGAGCTATATGATATACTCGTCCGATTTTGATGAAATTTAAACCGTAATTCAGAAATATTTAACCATTACTATATGTCGAAGAACTAAAAGAAAAATTTAAAAACAGCAAAGTTATAATTTTTTTTGTATTTGCGTTGCAAACTTCTGACTGAAATTATAATACCCTCTGCAAGGGTATAAAAATTAAAGTTAAATTAAATAAAACTCGCCATTGATTCATGAAACTCGCCGATGAATTTCAGCCAACAGCATTTACCAGCTACACTGCGAAAAAAATATATATAAAAATTAACCATTTCTTGTTCATTGAATTTTCTAAAATAAAATGCGGATTCGTCCTAAATTTAAAAAGATAATTCGACATAATTTTAAGAAAACTACGCACTTCACTATGGTCCAGATTCCGTTGTTGTTTTGGCATAAAGTCGATTTTTCTATGTTAATATATCGTTGTTTTCTTATTTTAATCTTAAAGAAAATTCATCATTCATTATAAAAATTTGTTTTAAAAACTTTAAAAGCGCCACCAAGTCTTTTTGATATTTTTTAAAATAAAGCTTGCGATCAGCTGATTTCCGAATAGAAATTTGCGACAAAATATTTAGTTGCTTTATGTTGTTTCACAAAATTTAACTAAATTATAGAAAGTAATCTTCAATGTATGCACTATTTAATGTATATTGTTATTTTATGTGTATTTCTAAGGATTTCGTATTGTGTAGTATCCAATTTATGAGTGTTTTTTAGAAAACTAGCATGCGTCCTCCGTGTTTCGTGGAATATAACTAATAAGCTGTTCATGCTGAAAGCATCTAATTGGTCCAGATTGTACTTGTGAGTGTTGTCTTTAACTACAAAGCAAAAACTCATCAGTGAGTTCAGTCACAGCGAACTTTTCGAAATATGGCGCAGCAACAATTGAAAAACTCAATATGTATCGCAGTGGATATACACCAAAATTAATAAAAACACTGTTGATAAAAAAATGATGGCACCGAGTTACCACGTAGATTTTTTTAAATTTATAATAACCATCTAATTGACAATTTTTTTAAACTAATACACCATACTTGTATTTTTTGTAGCTTGTATGGGGGGTGGTGGGAAGGCGTGGACAAACTGGAAAACATTTTTTTTCGAAATTCCACTTTAGTCTCCCAAACATTTGTGCAAAATTTCAGAATTTTAGGTTTATTTTTAGAGTTTATGCCAAAATTTTGGAGCATAGTGCACTGCAAGGGTAATAAAATAAAGAAAAAATCGTCTTATCTTAGATAAAAACATGATTCTTCTTAAAACTCACCATTTAGACTTTTAATGTCAAATTTTCCTTAAAACTATAGTTTTTAAAAATTAAAATCAAAATTAATCAAGTATATTGCACCTGAGAATATTCGTACTCAAAAAAATCCAAGACCAAAAATTGTCACCTTGAGTCCATTTTACTCAGTTTGAGTACAAATTTTCAAGAATGAAAAAACTCAAAATGAGGATCTACTAAAATAAATCGGCCAAAAATGTAACTAACCTTTTCTTTCCACATTATTGTTTGTATATGTATAGAAATTTAATTTGAAGGGCTAAATTGATACTTTATGAACTTAATAATTTATAATTAAATTTTATATTATATTATATTAATAACATTGAAGCTATGATGATTTGCAGCTCAATTATTAGATAGTTATTTTATATATTTTTATTATTTCAATTTGAACTATATGATGTAGTCGTCCGATTTTGATGAAATCTAAACCGTAATTCTTAAATCTTTAACCAATACTATATGTCGAAGAACTAAAAATAAAAATTAAAAATCAGGAAAATTAATATTTTTTTTTTGTATTTTTTTTCGATTGTTCCTATGGGAGCTATATGATATAGTCCTCCGATTTTAATGAAACTTAAACCGTAATTCTGAAATATTTAGCCATTACTATATGTCGAAGAACTAAAAGAAAATTTAAAAAACAGCAAAGTTATAATTTTTTTTTATTTATTTTTTCGATGCTATAGTCGTCCGATCCGGCTCATTCCGACTTATATACTACTAGCAATAGAAAGACAACTTTTTAGTTTCATGCAGATAGCTTTAAATCTGAGAGACTAGTTTGCGTAGAAACGGACGGACAGACGGACATGGCTGGATCGACTCGCCTTGTGATGCTGATCAAGAATATATACTTTACTGGGTTGGAAATGTCTCCCTCACTGCGTTACAAACTTATAACTGAAATTATAATACCCTCTGCAAGGGTATAAATAATGTAACTTCTCTCTTTTTCACATATTTCTTACGGTTTAATTTCATCAAAATCGGACGACTATATCATATAGCTCCCAAAGGAACAATCGGAAAAATAAATAAAAAAAAATTATAACTTTGCTGTTTTTCATTTTTTTTTTTTAGTTCTTCGACATATAGTAATGGTTAAATATTTCAGAATTACGTTTTAAATTTAACCGAAATCGGACGACTATATCATATAGCTCCCATATGAACAATCGGAATAAAAATAAAAAAAAAAATTATAACCTAGCTGTTTTTTAATTTTTTTCTTAGTTCTTCGACATATTGTATTGGTTAATTATTTCAGAATTACGGTTTAAATTTCATCAAAATCGGACGACTATATCATATAGCTCCCATAGGAACAATCGGAAAAGAAAGGAAAAAAAAATTATAACATAGCTTCCAAAGAAATAATAAAAATATATAACATAACTATAACATTGAGCTGCAAGTCATCATAGCTTCAATGTTTTTAGACATAAACGCAAGTAAGTCATAATTTGAATGTTTTAAAAAGTATCTAATTCTTGCAATAGCTGCAAGGGTATGTATATGAAGTTTCCTTCCTTTCTTGTTTTTTTTTTCATTTCACTTTTGTAATAGTCCGATTGTTTTCATGGGAGCTATATGATGTAAACGTCCGATTTAAGCCAAATTAAAACCCCATTTCTGGAACAACTATAAAAAAGTAAATAAAAAAACAAAATTAAAATTTATTTTTTATTATTTTTTAAAAGAACATCAACATCTATTAACCAAAACTCATAGAAAAAATCCAGAACTTGGGGGTCAAATCAAGAACGAACGCTGTCAAAGGTAGGGTAAATTCGATATTTTTTTTAGTCAAGTACGAATTATTCAATCCCGAAGTTCTACATTTCAGAATGTACGTCATCAGTCCAAGTACTTAAAAGTGCTTGAAGAAAGTGCGAAAGATATTGGTTTGACTACGAAAAATTCTTTGTGCAAGTATAAAAGTTTCTTAGTTTAAGACGTGGGCAAAAACAATGCTTTTTGTCTCTCTCTTTTTATACCCTTGCAGAGTGTATTATAATTTCAGTCAGAAGTTTGCAACGCAGTGAAGGAGACATTTCCGACCCCATAAACCAGCATCCCTAGCAGAGTCGATCTGGCCATGTCCGTCTGTCCGTCCGTTTCTACGCAAACTAGTCTCTCAGTTTTAAAGCTATCTGCATGAAACTTTCCCAAAAGTAGTATATAAGTCGGAATGAGCCGGATCGAACGATAATAGCATATAGCTCCCATAGGAACAATAAGAAAAATAAAAAAAAAAATTATAACTTAGTTGTTTTTTAAGTTTTTTCTTAGTTCTTCGACATATAGTATTGGTTAATTATTTCAGAATTACGTTTTAAATTTCATCAAAATCGGACGACTATATCACATAGCTCCCATAGAAATACTAAAAATATATAAAATAACTATCTAATATTTGAGCTGCAAATCATCATAGCTTCAATGTTTGTCAACATATACGCAATTAAATCATAATTTTAATGTTTTCGAAAGTATTTAATTCTTGCAATAGCTGCAAGGGTATATGAACTTTGGCTTGCCGAAGTTTGCTTTCTTTCTTGTTTTTATTTTCTCTTAAATTCCATATGAAATTAGAATGACAGGAAACATGTTAAACTGATAGGTAAAGGAAGGAAAGATAAAAGCAAACTTATTTTGTTCACTGCAAGTCGACCCAACCGGGATTGGAAATGAGGTCTTTGAATTCGTAGACGC